ACTAACCTCAGTGTTCCTGGGCACCCCTGGTGTCCCCTGGTACCCTCCATGGTCCGTCCTGGTGTGCCTTGCCAACGCCCGGTTTCCCCTGCCACCCCCTGGTCCCCATCCTGCTGTCCCCTGCAAGAACCGTTGGTGTCCCCAGGCACCCTGGTGTCACCTGCCACCCCTAGCTCCCCATCCCGAATGTCTTCTGCCGCTCCTGGTGTCCCCTGCCAACACCACCCCCCCCGTTATCACAGGTACTCCCAGCCCCACCATCCCCAACCTTATAATGTCCCCATCTGGATGCTCCCTCTTTGTGTTGTCCTCTCATTGTCCCCTCGCTGTCACCACGCAGGAGCCTGTTGAACAAGCCCAAGAGTGAGATGACGCCGGAGGAGCTGCAGAAGCGGGAAGAGGAGGAGTTCAACACGGGGCCGCTCTCCGTCCTCACGCAGTCTGTTAAGAATAACACACAGGTCCTCATCAACTGCCGCAACAACAAGAAGCTCCTGGGACGTGTCAAGGCCTTTGACAGGTCCGTGTCATTGTCCCCAAAGTGTCCCCAAGCAGGGCTCCCCGGAGTCCTTGGCATCCTGTGGGGTCATCCTGTCATGCCCAGGGGCTCCCCAGCCCTGCTGTCTTTTATCCTCGGTCTTTATGATGTCCCCCTGCGTCACCCCACGATCCCTAGTGTCTCTCTGGGTCACACCAGGGTCTCCCCACAGTACCCAATATTCTCTTAGGTCACCCCAAGGTTCGCAGAATGATCTCTGGAACCTCTGGGGTGCCTGGTATTCCCCTGAGTCACCCCCAAAGTGTTCTCTGGGGTCCCCCGGGTCACGCTTTTTTGTCCCATGGTCTTCCTGGTCCTGCTTATTCCCCTTGGGGTCTCCAGTGTCCCCTTCGATCACCCCATGGTCCCCAATGTCTCCATCAGTCACCCCAGGGCCCCCAAAGACTCCCAGGGTCTCCAAAGTCACCCTAGGGTCCTCCTGGGATCCCCCATATCCTGTGCCAGTGTGACCCAGCGTCCCCCTGATCCTGCGTGTTCCCCTCTGGGGTCCCCACCTTGCCTTTGAGTTCCCCTGGGGTTCCCAAATTCCGTGGAGGTCCCTGCTGGGGGACGAGGGGGGATGTCCCCTGGTGCTGTTGGGTCCGCTTGGGGTCCCCAGATTCTTGCTGGGGTCCCTCTTGTGCTTGATTCCCTTATGCCCCCCCCCAAATTTCTCCTGGTCTCACCCAACCTCCTCCCTAT